AAATAGAGAAACACCAACTAAGGCCTTGTTATTTATGTACATGGATCCAGGAAAACAAGTAGATTTCTGGGACACTTTATGAACTTATTTTCCCTAAGAGTAACAGCATCTCATATGTCTGTAACAATGACATGTTTCAAAGGGCTTTTGTATCTTTTATCTCTTCAATCTTAGTGATAGTCCCCCAAAATAAACAGGATAAGTATTATGATGTGAAAACTGAGGTTTGGGGAAGTTGGGACTTGCACAAAGTAATTTGTACAGTAAATAATTAGGCTGGAGCCTAGAGCTCAAGTCTCCCAAATCCCACATTGGCTCCAGTATGAAGGGTCTTTTCGTGCTTTCAGCTGCAAACAATAGAGAGGCCAACTCAACCAAGCTTAAACAATAAGGAGTTGCATTAGCTCTTATAATAGGAAGGCCAGTGGGAGTGGGCTTCAGGTTTGGTTCCATCCAGGTTTTGACTCTGTTTCTCTCCAGTTCTTCCTCTTCCGTACTTTTCTGAGTGCTGACTTTGGCTTCCAGGGGGCTTTCCTCATGGCTGCAAAATGGCGGTGAGTAGCAATTAGGGCAATATGCTTCTTAGTTCACCCTTAGCCAGCAAAATGGTTTCACCATTGTTATTTGTTAAAAGCAAGGCGGGACTTTCCTGGAAACTTTCAGAAAACTTTTCCTTCTCCAGAATTGGAGCACATGACATTCTCCACCAGTAATGGAACAAGGGCCATGGGATTTAGTCCAATCAAAGCCAATCCTGAGTCACAGGAAATATTCAGGGGAAGGGAACATAGCTGAACAAAATCAGAGTTTTTGTAGGTGGGAATGGATAATGAGTAGACAATCAATGCAATCTGGTGATTTTGGTAGCCAACAAATTTGAGAAAGTCCTGTGTTTGCATGGAACCAGGCAGCAAAAAGAGACGATTTTGTTTGGTTAGAGGCCCTGACCAAACACTAAATTCTGTTATTTCACCATCTCTTTTGTATTTCCTTATCTTATTTCCAGAGCAACATCCCTGTTATCCCACATGGCTTCTGCTTACCCGTGTCAAGACCTTGAGCCTCTCACAGGCACAATGATTGTGCATCATGCTTAGGACCCAGTGGTTTGGCAGAAGCAGCCCGCTCCCCCAGAGGCCCTACTCAATTCTATGCTGGACCTCATTTTAAAAGAGAAAACACACAGGAGAGATAGTCATATAGAATCTCACGCCATTCCAAGAGGCAAAGCAGATGAGAGTTCGCTGTTTTCCCTGAAACAAGGCCTGGCAGTCCAAAATGTTCACAAATGTGCCGGAAGGTAGTTTATCAGCAATATACTTTTCTCACGCCAAACCACTGTCCCAGCTCCTGCTCCATCAAAAGAGTAGGGCCATGTAGCTAACAGAACCCTACCTATGCTCCCTGACAATTACCTTATTTAACAGCACATGCTATGGAGCTTTTATTTCTTTGTCTGGACGAATCCCCGGTGTTCAAAGCCTTCTTTGCAGCAGGCACCTGCCTCTCACCCTACAGCAGCAACCCTGATTAGCGGGAAAACCAGGCTGGGCTGCATGTATACACATGGGGACTCGATCGACCAGACCCCACGGTACAGGGAGCACACACACGGTGTTTAAAACAGTGCTCATTGGAGATGAGGAGGACGAGAAAGCCAGGCAGGCTTTGATAGCACGGCGTGTTTTCCAGGGAAGGATTAACTGAAGCAAGGGGAAGGACTTTCTCCAAAGGCATCGGGCCCAGGCAGGTGAGACAGAGCAAAGAACACAACTCCAAACCCCAAACACTATGTCTTTTTAAATGAGGCTTGAGGCTTAGTTACTCACATGTGACTAGCATGACTGGTGACATAATTTGCAGGGCCCTGTGCAAAATGAAAATGTGGGCTCCTTGTTGAAAAACTATTAAGAATTATAAGACAGCGACAGCAGAGCATTAAATCAAGCAGGGAGACCTTTTAAGTGTGAGGCCCAAGCGGCTGCGCAGGTCTCAGCCTCCTGAAGTCGACCCTGGTGATGGTGCTCTTTAAAGTGACAGGACAAATTTTTTTGTCACTATTTACTGTATATAGTTCTTAGATCTAAATAGTGATTTTCTCCCAAAGAGCTCAGAACACAGAAAACTAAATAGTTTGGATATTAAGAATTTTTTAATTGGAAGGACAGACCTTAGAGGGAGATTTAAGAGAAGCTGAGATTGCATTAAAAAGTTGTTTTTTGTTTTTGCTCTGGAGTGAGTCTTGGTTTGCTAGAGTCAAACCTAGTTTGATTCTTTTCTGATCCCTGAATGGCCTTAGGTGGATTGCTTAAATCTCAAATTCTTTGTCTCATTTTTTGTAAAATGGGAAGAATTTTAGTATCTACCTTATGGGGCTGCTATAGGGGTTAAATGCAATATTGATTATAAAGCAGTTAGCATAATGCCTGGCTCATAGTAATTGCTCAATAAATATTAGCAATTGCCATAATAATTATTCCTGGTTCCCTAGGAGAAGGGATGGTTGAGGACCGGGAATCTTCCAACGATGTCTGAGGGTTAGCAGGCTCCAGCTCTGTTGTCTTTTCCTGAGCCTAGTGACCTCTAGACATTTTTTAAGTGTTTATTTTTTTCTGATACTATGCTATTTAATTGTAGAAAGTTTTAGGAAAATATTTTTAAATGACATTTACTCATGGATTGATCTTTCAGAGATAACTGAGTATTTAATATATTTTCCTCAAATTATTTTATTGCATATATATGTATAAAAATTGAGTCCTAGTGTATCTATAGTTTTATATCGTGCTTTTCATCCATACTCACTGTGAATATTGCCTCATGACATTGACTATCACCTCATGTCATTAAATGGTCTTCAAAACTTTTTCATGACAGCTTAATTCTTTATTGGGCAGATGTTCCATAATTTATTTGTTTCTCTTAGATTTTTAAGTTGTTCCTAATTTTTCACTATTATGAATTAAGCTGCTGTGAATGAGCGTGTGCATATACCCCCAATCACCTCTCTGATATGCTGCCTTAGAGGGGAGTTTTCTCTTAGAGAAGGGTAAGGAGCAGGAACAAATTTAAGCCTCTTAATAGATACTTCCAAAAGGATTATTCCAGTTTCTCTCCCATCAGGTGTAGATGGGGGCAGTTTGAGCTCTTGAAATCCTTACCAACATCAAGTATTATCACATTCGCAAAACGTGGACCATTTTACAGGGAAAAAGTTGATTGTCATATTTATGATAATGTGTTTGCTTTGCTCAATAATGAGGTGGGACATGTTTATGAGTATTTGCATCATTTTTTGTGAATTTTAAGTTCACAGCTTTGTCAATTTTTCTATTGGGGAGTTTGATTTGTGTCCTAAATTATTTTTAATAATGTACCCCCAAATTCTTGCATCTTCCCGTAATAATGAATCTCTTGTACATCAGGTAGTTTTGTGTAGTGATATGTTTTTTACTTCTAAAAATGTATGGAGCCAGAGCAGAGTGTGAAGCAGTAATGACGAGATGGTGAGGTAATTGACGCATGCAGCTACAGATCGCTCCTTCGCCGTCGTAGTCATGTTAGATGACACTTGTCTTTTAAACAAATGATGAAAATAGTAATAGAGAGCCATTCTTCTGGATTCTACATGATTTTGAGAAGCCAAGGGGTTATCATCGAAATGTTAATAGTAATTTTTTTCTGTATGATGGGACTAAAGGTGCTTATTTCATTCCTTGCACTTTTCAAAATTTCTACCTGAACACATATTACTTTTTATTCTCTCTTTTATAGTAAAAGTAAACAATAAAGACAAACCAATCCAAAGACATAGTGACCATTCTAATAATCCTACATTTTTGCTCTGTGTGATTTAGCAGAACTGAAATTTCATGTGAGTTAATTATTTGACAAATTACAAAGGAGCCATTTGGGCCTGTTACTTTTTTGGTCTCTGTAAAATCAGGTCTTACAGTTGCTGGCTGGCAAAGCACTCCCATGGAGGGGCGTAGTGCCACCACAGGCTTTTGTGTCAACTATCTGAGGTCAGAGCCACGTGGCCTCATATTGGTTGTATGACCCGGGCTATTAACGCTTTTGTGCCTCGATTTTGTGTCTCATAGTGGGGACACTAACATCTGCCTAATAGGGCTGTTGTGAGAAGTAGTTGTAATTGAAGTGGTGCCGAGGCTACTTGAATGCATAAATTGGATTCAGTGACAGCTCTGAAAGTCAAGTCTACAGAGGCCTTATTCTATGCCTCTTATGCCCTCACCCTGAGAGAGTGATGTCAGGGACAAAGTTCACTGTGATCATACCTCCCTGCCTATCGGGCTCACGGAGGCCTGGGATGGGGCAGACCGCCATTCTTACAGGAGCGGTCCCATGTGGCTGTGTGCATGCACTTCTTTTTCTGTCCCCAAGTCTTCCTTGGCCCGCCCTCTCTCTGTCTCTGATTTTCTCACACACACTCACACACTCTTTAATCTCAAATTATTATTGTGCATGGTGGAGATATCCATTTACTTTCAATTGAATTTCATTTTATAACATGGGTTGTAACTACAAATATGGTTAAAATAACTAATTGGAAGAAGATTGGCAGCAATCAATGAAAAGTTTAAATTAAACTATGTGTTCCCTTTAAATGCAGATGTATTACTTTTAAGAATACTTTGTGACTGGAATTAAGCATTAGACAGCAGAGGTCCTGCTAGGCCTGCTTGAATCAACTGACAAACTCACTGTGATTGAGGCAGACGCCCTTAAAGCAGCTGTTTCTCCCAAGTAGCCCGGCAGGTCCTATCAATCTTAAACTAAACGCTGCCTATCAAATTGGCAAAGAATTACGACAACTCTAGTGCTGGTAAGTGGAAACCACCGTTCTCGAATTCTACCAGTGCAGTGTAAATTGAGACTGCCATCTGGAGGGCATCAAACCACTATGTAGCATCAGTGAAGATACATTTAGATGCAAGTAATAGAAAACCTAGACAAAAATGACATAAGAAGGAAATTTATTATCTCATACAACAAGATGTCCAGAGGAGAGAGAGTTCCAGGGCTGGCTAATTGTGTGGTTAGGTGGTCATCAGGGTCCAATGTTCTTTCTGCCTTTCTGCTCTGCCATTCCCACCATGTTGGGATTGTCCTCATGGTTGCAGGATGGCTGCAGCCGCTCCAAATGTCACAGACTCATCAGTGTACAAAGGCTGGAAGAAAGAATGTCCTTTTCTTATGTCTCTACTTAAGAGTAAGAAAACTTTCCAGAAGCCCCTCTGTCTGCCCCACTCTGAAATTTTTCCTCACATGACTCATTGGCTAGAATCATATCATATGCCTATTTCAAACTCTGTTATTGGTGGGGAGAATGAAATTACACGATTGGCTTGGGGATGGGGAGAGATTTGGCTTCCTCTGAAGCACAGACCCTCTCAATATCTGAATCAGGTGTGAGTTCAATTAACAAAGTTAATAAATTCTTGCCATCTAGGCAACAACAGGGTCTGCCATCGTCTCTAAGGCAGTTCTTTTCAGTGATTTCCACAACATAGAAAATATAGAAAATTCTAACAATTGCCTGGCACACTGGAGTAAATTGGAACGGACTGGGGAACTTCTGCAGGGCTTGGTGAAAATAATCATGCTTTTTCTTTACGTTATATAATTATGATAAGAAAAATAAAATAAAAACTGCTAAGAAAGATATTAAACTTTGAATTTGTTTCAAATAAAATCTTTCAAGTTTTAAGATGAGAAACTTGAGCTTGCCTCTATAGACATATTTTTTTCTATTTCAGGTTTGACATTTAAAATGGCTACATTCAACTCCTAATCAAGACTTTTCTTTATCAATGACCTCTTCAAACTCTTTGTAGTCACCAGAAGAAAGCTTTATTCTCAAAGTAGATGATAGAAATAATTTTGAAGCATTTTTTACAACCATTCAGAAATTTTCTCTAGTTGCAAATCTATTAAGAATTGTAACAGGTGTTCCTTTTCTTTCACTGATAAATATAATGTTGAAATTTCTTTTCTTTTCTTCTTTTTGCTTGAGGAAGATTAGCCCTGAGCTAACATCCATGCCAGTCTTCCCTATTTTGTATGTGGGATGCCTCCACAGCATGGCTGATGAGGGGAGTAGGCCTGTGCCCTGGATTTGAACCCAAGAACCTGAGTTGCCTAAGCCTAGTGTGCAGAACTGTAACACTCGGCCACTGGACTTAAGCCCATTTTTCTCTTGTTCTTTTCAGGTAAAAAGTAGGGGATAATAGTAACAATAACTAAATTTATCGAGCATTGCTATGTTCCAGGAATGCTTCCAGGTCTGCCATTATTTAATCCTCACCTCAAATTCATGAGGTAAGTACTCTGCTGGCTCTGTTTTACAGATAAGGAAAATTGAGGCACAATGTGTTAGGGAACTGGCCCAAGATAAAATGACTAGTAAATGGTTAAACAGGAATTTGAGCCCAGGTGGTCTGACTCCATAATCTCTGTGCTAACTCCAATACATACCATGCTGACTCTAAATAAGGAAAGAGATCCCTGATAACCTACTTTCTTTTTGTATTTGGCATAATTCCTTCATTCTGTCTCTCCAAATGAATCCAGCTGCTTTTGCGGTTTTCCCCGGGTCTTACTATTCAGTTCATCTCTTCTTTTCTGTTAGCTTCACTTCAGCAGTAAACACATTCGGGAGCCTTTTTCTATGTTGTTTGACTCCTGGGTTATTCCTTCCACTGTGACAAAACTGTTGTGCCTAATTTGGGTATAGATCTCTCTTGGGAAGTTTTTCCAGGTCCTACCTCTTCAAGACCAGAAGGAATTTCCCTCCTACTCTCTGCTCCTATTGCCCCCAGGCAACACACTTCTGCTCAAAAGATCACGTAAAGACTCAGCCAACCATTATTCTTGAGGCTGCTATAAAATTTCCCCCCATAATGAGTACAAAAGATTTTCTGTTATTTTGAATAATTTTCAGGTTAACTTACAGGGACTGCTCAAAATAAAATACATCAAACTAAAGTCAAAACAGTCAACTGAACCTGTTTGAAAAGTTTGGAATTCCCAGGGATGCTGAAAGTCATGGGATTAAGCCCAGGCTGTAAGGCTAAGAAAAAGTGCTTTCATCTTTATTCCTAAAAATCCAGAGCAGTTCTGGGCATGAGAGTGGGGAACAGAGGCAGGAATTGCCCCATCCAACACAACGGCTGCCATTCAAACATCTTCCTATTTCTTTCCGAACTGTCCCTGGCTACCATCTGCACCTGTTGTCCACTTCAGACATCCACTTCTCCTCCTCTCTGGGGAGCCTTCCCTCATGCCACCAAATTGGGTTAGGCGTCCCCTTCTTGCCTCTCCCGGTATCTTGTACTTGCCCATTCTGTCCAGCAGCATGGCCTCCATCTTCCCCCAGGTTGCAGGTCCTTGTGGGCAATGACCTTGCCTTGCCCTTCTTTGGATCCTAGTCCTACTTAGTCAAGGGACTCATTCATAGATGCTCAATAAATATTTAGCAAATGAATGAATGAGACCCTATTAGCAGAGACATTTTTTAGGTTTACTTTTTCATTTCTATATAAGAGGTGACTTGACTTTCTTATGTTGGTGAACATAATTAGCGTTTTTTCCCCTGACTTCTCTCCTTTAATTAGGTAGATCATGAAAAATCACAAAGTACTATTAAAAATGAACTGGTTTGGAACATGCTTCCCAATTACTAGCAGCTCCCAAGGGTTCTACAGAGCTCTTTTGTGGTGCTCCCCTTTCCTCACTGATGTTTGCGTGAGCCTGGACCCGGAAAGAATGTCTAAGCGGGAGAAAAGCGGTGTGCCGCTGGCCTGCCTTTTCAGACCACGTTCCCAGCCAGCCCTTTTTCCTTCTACAGTTTCCCAGAGATCAAGCCGGTGACTGCTTCCTGCCCTCCTGCTAAGCTGGACTGGGGGGTTGATGGTTTTACTGTTCCTCAGTAATCATGCAGATTAACAGCTGTGTGTTCAGTAGCTCGAGGCCTCCCTTAAATTGAGAGGGCTGGAGCCACACAATCCGCAAGCGGTTGGAAATGTCTCTGCCTTTGGTTTCTTATTATGAGAATGTTACTGTGGCTTTAGGCTAGACAAGGAATAAAGCAATAGTTTTGATGTCTTTTGTTTCATGCAGCCCATAAAAAAGCAGGCTTGCATCCCTGTCTGCACTTGGTTTGGGCAGATAGACCCTCTACCATGACAGCCCTTAACTTTCACCCTCACCCACCCTCATTGTTACCCGCAATGGGATATCTTGCCTTCTGTTTCATTTTATGGTGGCGTGTAGCACCCTCACCATGCCCACCCCCACCCACTCATTTTGAGACCCCAACTCAGGCAGCTAAAGTCTGCTGTCTCCATTTGGTGCTTCTTGGAACCACACATAGTTCGCCAGCCTGCTGCAGCTTTCCCTCCATAAGGAGCTGGGCCGAATTTTGTGATACCCTGTTCTTTTCTGCCTCTGAGATGATTGTAGGGAATACGTGGAAATTTAAATCTGTTGGTCGACAGGCAAGAGCTGGGTACCAGCGGCCTTGTAGTTGATGGGGTATTTGATTCTTTTTCATTCTGATTAAGTCCCTGGAGACTGACAGTCCAAACAGGAAGGACAAGCGAATTTTAAATTAGTTCTTAGGATCCAAAAACTTAGGCTGTGAGTACGAAGAGGTTAATGGTCTTGTGGGCATTTTTCCTTTTCTCAGTTTTACAGTTTTGGATCCTTATGTGAGCCCTTGAGGGCTTCTCTCTGCCCAGAGATGATAGAGAACTAAACCCAGGAATAATAGAAATAGTTTTAAAAAAAACAGGTGCCCTGCAGAAAGACTATAAGACTGTTTTGACTCCTCTCACTCAGTGCCAGCCTGCCCTGGGGAGGGTAGGGGAAGACATGTGGGAGACCCCATCTGAGTCTGTATGTGTCTGGGGCTAGCACATGATAAACGAATGACAAGCAATAGGATACATTGGAGTATATGAGGAAGCCATTTGGTTTAAAACTAATTCAGCCTGACCTTGTTTTTCCAAAAGGGCCTGACGTGGCCTGTTGAGCATGCATTGTACACTTGCTTTAAACATTTACTCTGTCCCCAAGACAAGAATGATGCCTGTAAAGATAGGGATGTAACTTCCCCAATATCAGCATGTCTTTAAGGATTAGCATCTCTCCCTAAACTAAGGATTAACTACTGACCTGCTGTGCTCACCTTGTGACCACCAACCTGCTGTGTTCACCCATCTGCTGTGCCATTGAAGCATCTTGTGACTATTGTAAAAGGGACATTTCTATCATGTGTGATGTATGCTCTTTGTTCCAAGACAGTATATAACCACTCTGTATACCCCACGTCTTTGGTGCCTTTCCTTCCTTGGGTAAGGAAGGCCCTAGGCTAGTCCTCTAATCTGGCTCATAATAAACTCACCACAATTTTGTTTTATAGATTGATTATAGATTATTTGCATAGACACACAGAGTCAAGGCCAGGGCGTCAAAAGCCTTCCTCCCCATTCAGATCTATCCACTCAGGTGGAATGGCCCTGTTGCTTTTTTCTTCTTTTCAAAATTTTCTAAACAGTAGATATCTGTTAAATGAGGAAAAGATGCTTTTGCAGATCTTTGTGAAGCATGCAATTATGCATTCAATATCAAAAATGGTGGAAAGTCAGATGTAAACCAGCATATACCAACAGAAAAGCATAAGAGATGTACCAGAAAAAGTGATTTCCTCAACTAGTACCAAAGAAAGTGATAAAATAACAGATATTTAATTAAGAGAGATTCAGATGACGATAAATAGCTGGAGCTGAAGTTGTAATGTCTTCTACTCTCTCTCTGTCATCATCAATCTTTCAGCTCAAATGGAGGTTTAAACAGACAGCTAACAGAAGTATTTTTTTATTTCAAAACTGAAAGCAAATTTTTAAGTGCCAGGATGAAATCTCCTGCAATAATGTAAATTGTAATAGCTCCATTTACCGTTACAGAGATTTTCAAAGTTCTGTTGCTGTTTTCAGTGAGAGTGTGTTTTAATGGCAGTGTGTTTTATTTCTCTGGTGGAATAAAAGGTTGTGCTCCAGTAGCCTAAAATAGCCCTACTGAGCACATTTCACACCTCTGCACAAGGCACTTGGGGATTTCTACGGGAAGAGTCCATTTGCTTGGGTTGAAAGAGGCTTGATTTGGAAAGGGGGGAGGTTGTTGAAGATAGGCAGTGCTTCCATTCAACTAAGGCCACTGTTGTCCCTCTGCCACCTTCCTCTAGGCCATGGAGGCAGCAGCAGGCAAAAGGTGTTGTTGAGTTGGTAGAAGTAAAGAAAAAATAAAGTTTAGGAAGTTGAAGATTGAGTGCTAAGGGGAAACGATTTACAGCTAAGCAGGGAACCGGTGTCTAGGCTCCCGGGGATGAAGCGTGAGGCGTGGGAAGAAATGGGGTAGGTCCTTCAAGGCGAAACATGGCAAACGTCTTGTGCTATATGAGAAGGCAAAGTCTCTGTGTGTTGCTGGTGGGCTGGTGATGTATGAGGGGGTCAGTGCGCTGGCCGGAGGCGGTCAGCTGCATATGTGGGGCCCCTGTCTTGGGATACGGTGATAGGGCATGTGGCGTCCAGCTGTCCCTGCTATGCACATGACTCCTGAGTCAGGATCGTGTGGCCCAGTCAGCTCTGCACCAAGATCAGCAAGCTCACGGCCAGCTCAGCGTTTCTTAGTGGCCAGAGTGGTGGGAGGTTGAGGGTCCTTCTCACATGTCCCTTTTGTTGCTGATACTCCCCTGGCCATTTCTACTTTTAGTTACGTAGGAATCGGGAACAAGCTGTTAGATCTGGGCACTTTGCTTAGCCTCTTTTAGCCTCAGTTTACTCACTGCTGACGACTCTCTCCTCCCTCTACTCTTGCCTCTCAACCTGCAACCTCACAGTGTGATTTCTTATTCTTGTATCTCTTCCCAGATACTACTAACCCCTCCGAACACTGAATTCCTTATTAAACCAGACATAGGCGTCTAATTTAAAAGGTGATCAACTGAAAAGTGAAGGTGTGGATTAAGGAGCCAGGCCTACCTAGCAGCCTCCAAAGTTGTTAGCGTCTTCACTTTGGAAAACAAGCCATTTGATCTTTTTCAGCCACAGGAAAAAAACTGCATTAGACTCTGTGACCAAGAACATTTATGACGCATCTGACCCCGAATTGCAAAACCCATTGGAAACGACATTTAAATCTCACAGCACCTAATTTCAGCCAACACCAGTGGGGAATATAGCTAAGAGATTGAGTTTCATCTTTGACCTGAGCTTTTTTTTTCTTTTAAATATGGTCTTGATAAATTATTTCCCATGTACCATCTACCTTTCTCTGTTGCCTGTAACCTTGAAACTTGATTTGCTATCCATGGAGCAATACTGATTCGCAACTTGACTAGGTGGGATGGAGGACGAGGGGTTTGCAGCCTCAGAACAACACTGCTTTCTCCACCACCGGGGCCAGAGAGGGTGGGGCTCTGAATGAGGCTTTGCTGGGTGCTACTCAAGGTAAGGGTGTTGTGTGTAGGGTGGTGGGGTGGTAACCAGTCCCTAACCGGGTGAATTGCCCCTGTGTATCTTAGGCAGCACATTTCTGATGCAAAAAAGTGGTGTCTGCTCTGCGCAGTGGTGGTGTTAGTGCTCACAGGGCTCTGGGGCAACAGTGTTGAGTCACTGGGTGCGAGAGCTGGGCAGAGTGGCCTTCAGTGTTCCCAGGCAGACACAGGCCACTTCTCTCTGCACACATCAAGGGTAAGCTAATAGAAATGCCTTTAAAGAAGCATGTAAGAGACTTACTAACTTTTTCACAGAGGAAGGATTTTTGCCCTAATGCTAAAAACACATTGTTGTTTTTTTAATCATTATCTTCATGTTTCTTTAATAAATATCATCTCCCTTCTCCATCATTTCTTCTTTCTTGTATTCCTACCTCCAGTCCTTCCAATTGGGTATCCATAGACAAAATTGTGGTGGAGGCAAAATCTGCCTATGGCAGCTCCCATAACCTGTTTGTGCTGCTCTTCATCTCCTTGCTCCCCACCACTAGTGCCTAGAAAATACCTTTGGTGACTTGCTCTCCACTGGGCAGCAGAGCACAGGCCCAGAGTGAACCATGAACTTCCACTTTGACTTCTGTCATTTACTGCAGCATTGCCAAAAACCACTCTGTGCCTCAGTTTCCCCATATGTGTAAGACATAATAATCTTCACTCTATCAGTATCATGTTTTCAGCAACAAATAACAGAAAATTCAAGTCGAATTGTCCTCAACAATCAGAATACTTACTCACTCCCAGAACAGGAAGCCCAGTGATAGGGAGGAACGAGTCCGGCAGCTCTGGTTTCCTTTCCCGGCAGCTCGTGTCCTCTTTTCTGTGTCAACCACATCCTTGGGCTAATAGGGAAGTAGGGGCAGCAATTCCCAACCTGACATGGGGGCGTGGAAGCACTCAGAGGAGTGAGACAGAATTGCATGTGGAAGCTGTCCTGGAAGAATAAGGTGAGCAAGAAATTGCCCGGCAGCCCCGGAAAACCTGTTCTTGAATCTCAGTGGCCTGAAATGAGTCATAGGGAGGTGAGGTCGCCCTTAGACCAACTAGGTTCACCTTTGCAAGGGTGAAATGACTGCAAGGGGAAGGGGAGGATGCTGGAACAAAAACTGAACTCCCGTTAGAAACGGGAGAAGGTAAAGACGCTGGAGCAGCAACTGACACTGTCCACTGCCTGTGCCTCTCTAGACTGTCTGAGGCCCAAAATAAAAAGGCGAAAAGGGATGAAAACACATTTTGGAGCCTGAAAACATTCAATTAATATGGAGGACAGTTAACAAGTTAATCCTGCCAGCCTTTAGATTGTTTCGTTTAAGGGAACACTCGTCCTAATAGGAAATTTTGACCTACAAAGGGTCCAGTCTTCAACAGTGAGATTTAGTGCCCTACAGTCACTGGTATATATATCTGAGGTGTGAGGTGGACTTCCAATATCTGGCTGTCATGACTTGCACGAGAACATGGGGCCAGCCTTGCTTCCCTTGGCATTCTGGAACATGTCTACAGCAGAGCATAGGAGCTAGAATGGCCATGCCTTCTATGAGATAACCAGCATTATCAAATGATGCTCACCTTAGGGGAGCAGTACTGACATACTCAATTAACAGTCAGAGTTGGAAAGGCACCTTGAGTCTGAAATTTAAAAATTTGTCCAGAGACATAGGGTCATGTCATTTTAGGTTCACTTGGAGGGAAGAATGCAGAGCAAGCCAGCACTCACTCCTGTCGGTGAGTGGTCTTCTAGAAGCCTAGATCCATGGTTCCAGAACTTGAACACATCAGAATCTCTTTGAGAGCTTGTTAAAGTACAGATTGTCAGGCCACACCCCAAGAGTTTCTGTTCCAGGAGGTCTGGAATAATTTGCATCTCAAGCAGGTTTTCAGGTGATGCTGATGCTCCTGGTCCAGAGGACCACACTTTGAGAACCACTGACCTACGGGATGAAAGATAGAGTGTGTTTTGCACAAAGAGAAAACAGCAGCTGCCCAAACTCAGTTGTCTTCCGCCCTACTCTGGCTTAGTTCATTTATTCTCAATATGCTCTCCCATTCATTGAAGTGTCCTGGGTCACTCATTCATGGAAAAAACCCTATTTTTTTTACTGTATAGGCTGGAGCTCCTTGTGGGAGAGGGGTAGGGTTTGTAGTTTGTCAGCTATGAGAAGCTCAAGATTTGTCCCCATGGCTGTTTATAGTGTATAAGAGAAGAATCAAATTCCCAGGGGTACTGCTCTCTTTGCACTGCAGTCAACACCGGGAAGCAGGAGGAAGTCCCAAACAGAAGCCCTGTAGGGCTGTGTACAGTGGCTCTGGAGAACTTTTAACTAATGGGCACTTGTAAATCTAACAGGATTTCCTACCGGTGTGAATGCCTTGGGTAAAATGCTCATTAAACTGTCAGCTAGCAGAGAGGTGTTGCTCCTGGGAAGAGGGTCACAGCATCCTGGGGTGGAAAGAAGCCTCCCCAGGCCACCAGGGTCCTTTCCTCCCCCAATCACTCACCACCCACCCCAGACTCAAACCGTTTTCCCAAAGCCCTTCAGAAGCTTTTACAACTCTCCTCCAACTCCATCAGGAAATTATTCATTTTCTTCAGTCCAAAATATAGATTCCTTTTAAATCTGCTGTTTTGTCTTGGAGAAGATCTCTTCTGTGAAAATTGAGAATGGCTAGCCACTGTCCATGGTAGAACAGTTATTCATATACTTAAAGTCCCTTATAACATCACTCCTGAGTCTTTTTTTCTTTTTCTTTCAACATTAGAAAAATTAATATTTATTATTACTCAAATAATACTTGCACACAGTAAAAAAAAAATTCATATAGCGCAAAATGATATTCACTGAAAAGTGAGTTTCCCTCCCACCCCTGGCCCGGGGCTGATTCCTTAGAGTTAACCTCCAACAACACTTTCGTATGTATCTACCAGAAGTTTTGTGAACATGTATTTGTGTACATGTGACATTTTGATTTATAAGAAATACATATACTTGCTCATTCAGATGACCAAATATATTTCTTATATATTTGATCTTCGTCCACAGTTCCTGGCTCACAGCTCCCAAGACCCTTGGAATTTCCTAAGTGTTGAGAGTGATAAAGGTGTCTTTTGCTGTGTTAATGAGGTGACTTTTGGAAAGCACCTAAGGATCTGAGCTGGACACCAGGAGACCCAATCCTGTGATTAGAGCGTTGGAACTTTCAGTCCCCCACCGCCTCTGGAGGTGGGGAGGGGCTGGAGGTTGAATCAATTTCAACGGCCAATGACTTAGTCAGTCACGGCTGTGTAATGAAGCATCCATGTAATGAAACCCAAAAGGACAGCCTATCAGCCCTTTTTTCGGAAAGCTTCCACGTTGGAGAACAAGAAGGCTTCCACATGCCCCCGTGCCCAGCCCCAAGATCAACGAGGACAGACACCTTTGTTCGGGACCTCGCCCTATGTATCTCTTCATCTGACTGTTGATTCATATCTGTAAAAGATAATCTGGCAAGTAAACAGGTTTTCTTGAGTTCTGTGAGCTGTTCTAGCAAATTAATTGAACCTGATTTATAGCCAGTCGGAAGTGCAGGAAACAACCTGGACTTGGGATTGGCATCCTGAGTTGGAGGGGTTCGTTGGAACTTCCAGTTTTGTAGCCCATCAGTCAGAATCACAAGTAACAACCTGGGCTTGTGACTGGCCTCTGAAGTGGAGGGTGGTCTTGTGGGACTGAGCCCTTTACTTGTGGAATCTGATTGAGTTGAATTCTCAGACACCCTGCTGGCATCCAAGAACTCCTTGTTGGTGTGGGGAAGACTCTCCACACAGGCATTGGAACTGGGTCTAGAAACCCTTTGCAGTATACACACACACAATGGTTTTGTTTTGTTTTTTTTTTGTAAGCGTATACTAGTAGATTATTTAATCAGTTCTCTATTTATGGTGTTTTGACTATTTCCAGTTTTGTACTTCCAGATAATGTTGTAGACACACTTTTGATTGTGTTGACAAATTTAAGACTTCCTAAAGCAGAGTTGCTGGGTCAAAAGTTTTCTCTATTTTTAATTTTGCCAGCTTACATTCTGTAGAGGTTGCACCAATTTTCACTCACTTCAATAATGTTCAAAAGTGCTGATGTTTTGCTATATGCTGTAGTGTGCTGACAAACTTTAAAATTTTGGCCTGACAGGCAAAAATAATGCTATTTCAGACCTATAATTAATATCTCTCTTATTCTGGGTATCATGTTCACCTTTTCAGATGTATAAGAACCATCCCTATTTCTTTTTCTTTAAAGTTTGTATATTTCTTTTTACCTATTTTTCTATTGGTTGTTGAACTTTTCCTATAGTTTTGTAGGCTATTTTTTTATGTCAGGAATTAAACTTTGTCTGTCATACATGTTGTAAATTCTGTTGTACAAACTTTAAGTATTTCTCCCCAATTTGTCATTTCTCTTTGATTTAGTTTGTTTTACTTTAGTTTAAGATGTTTTATGCCACTCAGCAATTTTTTATTTTTATGTAGTTAAATGTTTTTTTATCATGTTTTTAGTTAGTGACTTCTGGGTTTTATGGCCTGTTTAAAAAAGAAAGGGCTTCCCCAATCCAAGATATTTTTTAAAATTCTTCCTTGTTTTCTTCTAATAATTTTACAGTTTATGGTTTTGTCGTTTCTTTTTAATATTTATTTCCATGTAAGGAGAGAGGTACTGATCCAACTTTATTCTGCTGCTTGATAGCTCCCCACTTGTTCCAATACTATTTACTGAATAGTCCATTTTTTCTTTACCAATATGTGATGTCACTGTGATAATAACCTAAATTCCCGTTTGAACTTATTTGTGCAATCTATATTCATTCTGTAGATTGGTATCTTCATTTACCAGAACCTCACTATAATGAATAGTGCAACTTTATAATGCATTTTAATATCTGGTAGGACTGGTATCCTTCATTACTCTTCTTTTTCAGAATTTTCTAGATATTCTTGCGTATTTACTTTCCCATAGAAACTTGAAAATTAGTCTGTCTGGAATTGAAAATTATCCTGTTGATATTTATATTGAGATTGCATTAAGTTTATAGATTAATTTCAGGAGAATTGGCCTTTTTATGATTATTAAATCTTCCTATCCAATAAAAGCATTAGCATTTCCATTTATTCAAGTTTTCTGTTGTGTCCTTTAGTAGCATTTTGAAGTTTCCTTCATTTATAACTTGAACATTTCTTGTTCAGTTCATTCCCAGATACTTTTTGGTTCTTTATTGTAAATGGATATTATTTTCCATTTTGTTTTTTAACTTGTGTATATTTTTGAATCTTATTTTCATATCCATTAATTTTTTAAATTCTTTTAGTCTATAATAATTTTTCAATTAAGTATCTTTTTGTATAATGTGCAAATAATAATTTACCTACTCTTTCCCTATATTTTTGCTTTTTTTCTCCTGTTCTATTGCAATGGGTAGTACACATAAAACATTATCAAATATCAGAGGGACTAGTAGAAACTCTGGTCTTCTGATTTGAATAGGAAGGTCACTCAATATGATTCAGGCTTTGGTTAATGATCTTGTTATTTTATTGAGTTAAGATATTAGAGAAGCATCCATCTATAATATTTTGTTAAAAGTTACATAAAAATAAAAAATGGGTGTAAGATAACTCCATGACTTTTTGGCATCTATGGAAGTGATTATGATTTCCTCTTTTGATCTGTTAATATGGCGAATTATAGCAATAGCTTTTTCCAGTATTGAATAACAAATAGCTAATATTTATTCAGTGTTTACTGTGTGCCAGGCACTGTTCTAAGCACTTTGCACGTATTAATTCATTAAATCCTCTCAACATACTATTAACTCCATTTTACAAATGAGAAAACTAAGGCATAGAGAAGTTAAATAATTATGTGTCCAGGGTCCTATATATATCAGGCATGTAACAGAGCTGGGAACTGAACACAGACAGTTTGGCTCCTGAATCTATGCTCTTGACATCTATGCTCATCAATCACTTTTGAATTTAGGTCAGGAGGTAGCATTCCCTTAATGTTCTGCTGGACCCTGTCTGCTAAAATTTTATTGTGGTTTATTTATTTATTTTGAGGAAGAGTAGCCCTGAGCTAACATCTGCCGCCAATCCTCCTCTTTTTTGCTGAGGAAGACTGGCCCTGAGTTAACATCTGTGCCTATCTTCCTCTACTTTATATGTGGGACGCCTGCCAGAGCACGGCTTGACAAGCGGTGTATAGGTCCACACCCGGGATCCAAACTGGCAAACCCAGGGCTGCCAAAGCAGAACGTACGAACTTAACTGCTGCGCCACCAGGCTGGCCCCTATTGAATTTTTTTTTAGCTTGATATTAATAGATTAGTTTAGACTATAGTTTTTGTTTTTGTATGTGTGTATTATCTTTGTCAGGTTTGGGAATTAATATCTCACTAGCTTCAAAAACTAATTTGGAGGTTTTCCTTCTTTTCCTGTCGCCTGGACCAGCGTAAGCAGACCTGGAATTATTTTTTCTATAAAAGTTTGCTAGAAGACCTTCACACCTGTGAAAGCGTCTGATTCTGGAGCTTGGGGAGGGGTGGATTTTTGACCATTTATTCTATTTTTCTGTGATAATTAGTCACTTAGATTTTCCACAACTTCTATGGTTGGTTTTAGTCTTTTATATTTTTCTAGAAAACCAACCATTACATCCAGATTTTCAGCTCTATTTCAGTAGAGCTAGGAAAGGAGTATCAAGGAATTCTTTTAATTTTATGTATAATGTATTAGTTCCTCATTTACTGTTTTCATTTTGTATTGTTTGTTGATTTTTTTCTTAATTACATTAAGCAGTAGAATTATTGTTTTCTTCTCATAAAACTAGCTCTTGAATTTATTTATTGACTCTCCATTTTATTATAACTCTTCCCTCTTTATCTGTGGTTACTTCTAATTTTGTATATTTTTTCCACCTTTTTAATGGACTAAGTTGGCTAATGATTTGTTTTTCTATTTTATTGTTTGCTTTATTTTTATTTCTCCGAGAACTATCTCTTGGGTCTATTTATTAGTTCCACCATTTTAAAAATTATTTCTGCCTGCCTTATTTAGGTATGTTTTATTATTTTTTTTAATTTGCCTCATTGACTGATCACATTGTTTATTTTCATTCTTTCCTGTTAGCAATGCTAGTAAGTAGAATATGCCATGAGAGGAAGCATCTCAGAGGTTCTGATACGTAGTTCTCACATTGCCAATCTTTTCTAGATACCATATTTTTTATTTCCTCTTTGGACCAAGAGTTAAGAGAGAGCTTCTGATTTTCTAGGTGGTTAAGACATTTTTGTCTTTGACTAAAAAAATAATTTCCAATTTAATTTCACTGAGATTAGAGATTGTGATATGTAATATTTCTACTTTTTGAAGTATATTGAGATTTTACTTTGTGGTTCAACTTTTATAAATGTGGTTATTTTTATCAATATTTCAAGAATAATTGAATAGTAGACATAGTCTCTACATTCAGAGTTTTAGAGGTATAGACATATAGATACAGATATAGAGAGTGTTACAAAACAAAATTTAACTGAGTAAAATTTAATGATTTTATTGGCTTTATTCAATGCCTCATGGATTGGGCAGCATCCCATCTAGTAAACAGAAAGGAGTGCCGAGAAGCTGTATAAAATGGAAGACTTTTATAGGCAGAATGCAGGTGGGGAAAGGAAATGTTCTAGCAAAGAGTGGATTGTTTCAGGCAAGGTCACCTTCCTATGGGAAAGGCAGGGGTCTATCAGGCAGATTACCTCATGAGTGCTGACCTGGTAATTCTAGGTTGCCTCGTTTAAGGTCACATACCTGGGAGAGACTGAAACCACAATTTGGTTAGGTATTAAGTCTTGGTTTGCTGGTGGGGCTTAGCACAAGTGACTCCATTTTGGGCCTGCTGTCTTTTCTTTTTTAACAATAGATATAGATATACACATGCCAGAGTGTGCATGTGCACACACACACACATGGGCTCCACCATAGTAACTATGGGATTCAGATTTTCAATAGCCTTACTTACTTTTTTGTCTACTTGATCTGGCATGGGCTGAGAAAAGTGATTTTTTTTCCCACTGCAATTGCCATTTTGTCTATTTCTGTTTGTATTTACTGCAGTTTTTCTCTTAAGCATTTTGAGGGATTGCCATTTGCTGCCTGAAAATTCACTAAATTGTAAGTTTATCATTGCAAAGCATCTATCTTTGTTTTGTATAGTGTTGTCTGGAATTTAACTTTGGCTAATATTACCATGATCCTGTTTTTTGCTTGCACTTAATTTCCTCATCTTTGGTTATCCTTTTACATTCAACCTTTCGAAGTAATTTTATTAGAGATGTATTTCTTGATTGTATGATATACATGTATTTTATTCACTCAAGAAATATGTTATATATATTATATAATTTTTAAGCAATTTGGGTCTTTTTCTTTTAAATAGAATAGTTTTCTCATTTGCATTTACTGAGAAACTCTTTTTTGATCTTAATTCTATCATCTTATTTTGTAATTTATTTTACACTTCTTTTTTATCCTTTGCTATATGGCATAGATTTTCTTGCTTTATGCCCTATGCCGAATGAATATATTTATCTTCTAGTAATTTTAAAGGTTGACATTCTCATTTCTGTTATTCTGATGATAGTCCAATAGTTTTTAAGAATATATAGAAAACTTTTCTTGATTTCCCAACTTCAAACAATGTATTTTGACACCCTGCTGTGAACAATGAGGAAGTCATCAAGATTTCCTCTTGCTCTCCATCCCTACCTGCTCTTGAGTGCTAGCTCCTCTCCCTATCATACTCCATCACTACCATTAATTTAGTTCTTCTTGACACTTATCACAGTGTGTAGTTATCCTATGTATTTATTTGTTTACTTGTTTGTTCTTTAACTCTCCCAGTGGACTATAAAATACTTGAGGCCAAGGGCTTTGTATGCTTTTGTGTGACCTGGAAGAGGTGACACAATTATAGCATAAGAGCAAGCATTATAAAGGACCACCCAACTCTCACTTTACAAGTGAAGGAACCGAGCCCCAGGTGGTGGAGACACTCACTCTACATCATAGAGCTAGTGAGTGACAAGAACTGGGCTAGAGCATAGATTGGCTCACCCAAGCTTGTTCCAAAATGCCAGACTCCCTCAAAACGCATCACACAAAATTTACATCCTAATACCAAAGGAAGCGTTCATACTCACACGAACCAATGTGGAAATTTTTTTTTGTTATTTATTATCACTTAGTGCCTTCCAAATGACATGATATTTGAAAATAGCTCCATTATAATGTACAATTTAAAAAGATTGTCATTTCATATGTTCAGAATACCTTCATAACTATTTACAGGTATATTCTGAATCTCTTGACATTTCTTGATTGAGGAAGCTGGAGAGGGAGAATCCTCCCATTGTAAGTTGGGAACCAAGATTCTAATAAGTGACACATTCAAAGACACTTAGAATGGCAAGAATTGATTCCAGAAAAGAATTTCTGTTTCCTGGCAACCAGCTCACTACTCCCTGAAGGGCACTTTCAAGAAAGTTCAATCAATGGAAGGGTCAAATGTTTTCTTTTTCAAACGTCCATTTTGCATGTAATGGCTGCTCCATGCAGAGTTTACGGGTGTTCTCTTGTTCATGAGATCTAGCGTCCTTCTGCACAAATGCATGTGCTATGGGTAAGAAATTACTTCAACTGAGTTTATTGGCATTTCTTAGAGCATATGAGTTCAAAGAAAATTATTACAGGTAAGAGCTCTGTCCGTTAAAATACCACTGTATAGATTACGTAGTGATATATACGGTCAGAGAGACATCCAAGAAAAGCTCAGTACAGATCTTGCCAATTCTTAAGACTAGCCTTTACAACGGGTCGGTAAATCTTTTTCCTGACCCCAAAGCTACCTGCTTGGCCCTCGTTATTTTCTTCAATTCGACTGAAATCTCGCTAGTGGAAACAAATGGGGTATAGAAAGGGTGCTTTAGGGGCCGGCCCGCGGCCAAGTCGTTAAGTTCGCGCCCTCCGCTTTGGTGGCCCAGGGTTTCGCTGGTTCGGATCCTGGGTGTGCACCTAGCACCACTCATCAGGCCATGCTGAGGTGGCATCCCACATGCCACAACTAGAAGGATCCACAACTAAAATATACAACTATATACTGGGGGCTTTGGGGAGAAGAAGGAAAAATAAAAAATAAAGTGAAATAAAATCTTTAAAAATAAGTAGATAAAGGGTGCTTTAGTCAGACAGGCCTTGATTTGAACCTGAGCTTCTGCATGGCCCTCAGAAAGGCACTTAACTTTGCCAAGCTTTGATTTGTTTAGACATGGACAGATCAGAATCATACTAGTTTAGATACTTTGGTAGGATTCTATGTAGGAATCTGCCGCTTGGCATGTACTTCACTTGACCGCAGCACCTTACTGGTTGTCAAAGATTGGCATGGGGACCAAATAGAAAACAGAGTACTAACTAATGCTCTATCATCATTTGTGCTCAATTAGAAACTTATGTCAATTTCTCTGTCAGCTCTCAAAACTCTATATTAAATATATGTAATAACTCCTTAGGTCTTGGAAAAATGGACTTCCACTTAACAGAAGGAAATATGGAGTCTTCAAGAAGTTAAGTCACAAACCTCAAGCTACATAAGTCACTGGTCAGCTCTGTGGATGAGCAGCTCTCCTGAGGGGCACTGTGTACCCTGGGGGCTCCCTCTGTGAGTGTGGAGGCAGTGCCACGGATCCCTGGAGTCTTGGTGCTCTGGAGAGCTCTCTGTTTCTGACCAACGTGACGCATTTTCTTTAATTCCCAGTTGTCACACTGCAGACATTCATTCTCCTATCTATAGCCATTGTTACTGGGCGTGCTAGAAATAATAAGCTGGAGGGAATAGGGCAGCCTTTCAGAAGACAGACCCATGAGAAATAACCCCAAATAGAAGCAGTGAGTTGCCATTTCTCGCTCACTCAGCTGATGTTCTGGAGCACTTCTCGTGTGCTAGACTCCATGAGTGCTGGACGGGAGGGACACCATAGGCGAATCTGACCCAACCTGTCTAGCATAGAACTGCAAATAAGTAGAAAAGACTGTGTTATGTTAACCTTGGCCAAGTTAACTTGGACCTTAGTTTCCTAATGTAAAAGGAGGCTTGGGCCAGGTGGTTCCCTAAGATGTGTTTTAATTCTCTGATTCATATTTATATGAAACTTTACCCTAAGTTCCTTAAAGAAATCCTAAAGGACAGAGGGATATAAAAAGAAACATAAACATTTTAAATGATTTTAGAACATCTTAATTTCCTCTCCATAATGTCTTAGAATGAACTAATAATGATGGCTTCATCCAGGGAGCCAATTTTAGCTCAACATTTAGGAGTCATTGTGGACAATTCCCAAGGGCCTCAACTGTCCCTTCCTTTGTTTTCCTTTTTGCCCCTTCTGGTTTGCTTCTGCTCAAGTTTTCCATGTCAATTTTTTGCCATCTCTCCCTGCCTGCTGGTTCCTCCATATGGTTTACTGCCCGTGTTAATTCACTTTTATTTGACCCCTAGAACCATCCATCAAATTCTCATGTGGCTATTGGCATATCATTGTTTTAGTAGGGGGCTCAGAGCTTTCCATTGATTTCTGGCCAAAATTCCTGTAACTCTTGCTGCTCTTTCTTCCTCCATCCTCATCTGTCTTTAGCTGTTAAAAAGTGATATTAGCATTTAGGGGACTTCCCCCATCCACTCTCATATTTCCTTCCCCCAAATCTCAGTTTTCAAAAATGAACAAAGTAATAATGCAGGAGACACTATTATGCTAAGAAAACCAGGATTTTACTTATTAAAGAAGTGGAGATTCAAATCATAATAGATTTGAATTTTCTTTGGAAAACTTATTACGTTCTATTAAGTTGTATGTGAGTTAGGCTCACAAGCTATGGTTTGTATTGTTATAATTACCAGATGGAATAAAGATTATAAAACACACTGAAGAAGGAAATGCAGCTTGAGAATATTTTAAAAGTGTTAATTCAAGGCATTTCAATTTTTTTATTAGCCCCTTTGTAATTACAAAGTACAAGTTAAATGAAAGTACAAGCTAAATGAAACTAAAGAATAGGATAAAAGAAGGAAGATATTTTAAAGGACTCAATTTAATGTAATTGTCAGACATTCCCAGTTTTGCCCAAAGGCACCTCCATCCATCTGTCCATCTATCCATTCAATAACTGGGCACTGAAGGGGTAGGCGTATGGTACATACAACAAACGAATTGGATGTTGTCTCTTCTATGCATCTTTCATTCTAATGGGTGGAGACCAAAAAACGAGAACAAAAAAACAAGTAAACAAATAAAAGAACATAATAATTTCAAAATGTGGTAAGTTCTATGAGAAATGGTGGAGGGGAGCAGATGTTAGAGAATGCCCTGGGGAACACTTTAGGGTCCTAACGTCTGAGGAGGTGGCATTGGAGAGGAAGCCTGACGATGAGAAAGAACTAATCATACAGATAGGCAAACAAAGAGTGTTCTGAGGTGGAAATATTAATGTTCTTTACAGGGAAAATGAACTCCCACCCCAGAAACGCATTTTCTGAAAGGGCTTTAAGATGGTGAGAGAAACGGCCAGTCAGGAGACAGTTGTGTACACCGAACTCTAGCTGAGGAAACAGTAAGTCCTTACAGTGATGTTTCTAAAGACAGAGATGATTCGGGCCTGACTGCCACTTAACCTGTCCTCATTTTCTCTATTCAGCCACAGTGACCTCCTTGCCCCTCTTTGAACATTCTAGGCATGCTCCCACCTCAAGGCCAGCTCTTCCTCTGTCTAGAATGCTCTTCCCCCAAAGAGTCACTCTCTTGCTCTCTCACTTCCTTTGGGTCTTTGGTCAAATATCACCTTTTCACTGAGGCCTTCTCTGCCCATCATATTTAGATGTGAATGCCCTGCTCCTACTATGGCTGTATTTGTTTATTTTCCATGAAACATCATCAGCTTATGTGATATATATTAATTATTTTGTTTACCATCCAGCCCTCCCTCCACTAGAATGTAAACTCCATGAGGGTAGGAAATTTCATCAGCTTTGTTTAGCACATAACCCCAGGTCCTAGAATCACACCTAGCATATATTAGGTGCTCTCTCTATTTGTTAAGTAATGAAAGAATAAATGAATGGTCACATTTGCAGAACTAAAGCTCTACCATTATAAAAGGAAATTATTGTACTTTAGGCTAAACATGGTAAATGGAATCTACGTGTTTATCTCTATTGCCTCCAGAAATGCCTCTAAAAGAATTTAAAAGGCATAAACACACAAGGACTAGGAGAACAAGAAGAGACCGCAGCAGAAAAGAGATTTCAACAAAATTTTGACGGCTGATAGTCTTAACTATTTTGCCAGGCTGGGAAGAGCTGAAACTTAAGCCTGCAGGGAAGAAACCAATTAGAAACAAGCTGTTTGTGCCATGGGTCCTTAGAAAGGCTCAGGATTTGGAGGCATCTTGTTCCTCCCATGCACCTTTCTCAGGAAGCTGCTAGAGGATGTACTCCACCCAAACACGGGAGAAATCAAGAAGAAAAACCTAGGACTGAGGAAACAGGGATCTAACAGAAGAGATAAGTAAAGGAAATTTCCAGGATGAGAGTGAAGGGAAGTCCCAGCCTGACCAATGGTTAGCAGGCCTAGCGAGCAACTGGGCCAAATTGTAGGAGGAGGACAAAAGACTCCAAGGTTGATGTCTTGAAAAAGGAAGAAGAAACTGATAACCTGGTGTATTTGAACATACAGAAAGGAGACTTTATAGTTCTATCAGAGGATTTAGAGTTTGTTTAGTTATAGGATCATGGAAAACTAAGCAAATGAGAAAAGCAATGATTAACTTCAGGGAAAACAAAAAGCTATACAAAAAAGGAAATGGAATTATACTCTACTACTATGGCTCAACTGTGAATAATATTTACTGGTTCATCACTATACAACATTGAGAGACTGGAGGAGAGCAAGTGTTTGACGTGTGTGGAAAAGTGGTAATATAAGAAGAAAGAAACCCAATATCTTCCATAGTTGAGAGTCAGTAGATACTATCTAAAACTGAAAAGTCAAAAAATAAGAGTAGTGACATTTAGAAATATGTAGATAAAAACAAGAAGAAATGGCTAAAAATTGAAAGTGGTGACCTCTGGAAAGCAGGATTAAGAGTAGGGAGGACTAAACAGGAACTGTAGTTTTTCCTTAGAAGCCAAATAAACCTTGACTTTCTAAGCTATGTGCACAGGTTATATTTAGATATAAATAAAAACTAAATAAGAAGAATTTATGCTTTCTTATTAATCTTGAGGGAAAGATCTTGAAGAAAGACCTGTTCATCTTAGGATACTCATACATAGAAGATATTTGTTAAATAATGAGTGAATGAATGAATGAGAGCTGTCATGAGCTTCTTTAGAGCTCAGAACACATCGCTGGCAGCAGGTGGAATGATGAGAGGTCCTGCGTCGGGAAACGACTTAAGGAAGCCCAGAGAAGATGAGCAATTGCGTACCTCTCCACAATGAAACCCTGGGGTTTCTGCTCAGTTTAACCTATTACACAGTGTAAGGCTGGCAAAAATTGCTCATTTCCATAGAGCTGACTCCGCAGATTTGAAAAGTCCTGAATGGGAAATAAATACGCTGCTCTTAATAAATGTCTAGTTAAGGTATAGTTAATATAGTTAAATGTGAAAGTGTATAAATGATATATTTTAATAGCATTCAGAGCACATTTCAGCATCGAGATAAATGCAAACTTAGAAAAAATTCTAACATCCTCTAAACACATTGCCTTATCAGAGCAAATGATAAATTACTAAAGAAAAATGTTATTCTGCAATGTTTTGAAGATTAAGTAGAGTATGAGTGAAATTAACATTGTGTGTAAGTGAAGCTGTGACTATATCATGTCAGGGTGGCAATAAAATTGCAGAGGGGAGAGAATTAGAGTTTTATGCCACAGAAATGGAAGTAGTTTTCATTTTAATTGTTTTTCTTTAAATGGATTGTTTCTGTAATATACTGTATTCTTTCCAGTTCACAGATGTTCAGGAGGGATAAAAGAGTTATAAAATATTCTAATGTGGGCCTTTAAAATAGCTTTTTTGGAACAGAAAAAGAGCAGCTTAAAGAATTCAGAATTTTTAAAGTACAATAAAGCATTCACATTGCAAATTTAGTGATTCGCCTTTTGTGATATAGAAAAACAAATGGCCTTTTAACATTTATGCCACGGCTGGCCTTTTAGTCAAATAAATCAGCTTCATTTATGATAGTCTTTTTTTAACATCAGGTATCTCTACAATTCACTTTCTTTCTTCCTCATCTCATTTCCTGCCAGCAGTTCTTTATTCCTGGCATTAGAAAAGTTCCCCTTTTCTCTGTCTTATTAAACGTGATTCTGGGCTGCACCTGAGCTAACCCAGATGGATTTTTTGTGCCAACGTACAAGGCTCCCAGCTGTCTCTCTGCCACTCTCAGAGTCCGCTCCCCAACCACTGGTCCTGCAGCCCCTACTGGAGGCTTCTAGAAGCTCAGCTATGTCAACACAACCAGTGGTGCTATGTTCCTCACAAATTCTACACTTGGTATTTCTCTTCTCCTCCTTCCCTTCTTCATATTTCTTTTTAGAAAGCCATTATTTTTCCACGATTCTTTCTAAAGTTGCTTGTATCCCTTCTGCTGTGTACAAAGGCTCTGATTTATCTCAATGTCCTGATTTTTCTCTTACCATCATAGTTGCTTTTTCCTTCCTGAGCACATGTTTGGAACCTAATCTATATGTCCTGAGAGATGGGAATCACTACCCCATGGGGGTTAGGGTTCTGTTGGACTCTAATAGCAACGACAAATATTTACTGAATGCCTACTATGTAGCAGCTACTGTGCCAGGTTTATAATGTTGAACGAGAGAGAATGCGCTCTGCCCTTATGAAGCCAAGAGGCTCCTACTGAGGGTGACTTAGCAAAAAGCCATTGGCTTCGATTCCGAAAAAGTTCTTCCTTTAGTTCTCTTGCCTGGCTGCACATTAAAATCATATAGGGAGCTTTTTAAAAATCCCGGAGCCCAGGACAAACCATCAGAATCTCTAGGAATAGGACCCAGGCATCAGTAGTTTTTAAGGCTCCCTAGAGAACTGGTGTGACCCAAACTGAGAACCATTGCTCTAGAGAAGCGCTTCTCAAATTTTAATGTGCGTGGGGTCTTGTCAAATGCAGATTCTGATTCATAGGTCTAGAGTGGAGCCCGAGATTCTGCACTTCTAACAAGCTCCCAGGTGGTAGTGATGCTGCCAGCCCAGGGACCACACAGTGGCAGTGACATTAGATTTAAACCACGTGCACTGATGCATCTGGGGGAACATGATTTGACAGTGGGATCTTGGTTTCTCCAGGTCTCCTCATCCTGGAGTACAAACGGACTTACGTAACAACAATAACTCAAATTCAAATTCGCTCTTGTTTAAACCAGTTCTCACAGGTGTATAGCACCCCTGCTGCCACCCATGGAAAAAGACCCCCTAAATAAGTCGCATAGTCCTGTGCTAGTTCTTGGCACTGGGTGGGGTGGGGGGGGGGGTGTCTTAGGGATAGTTGCACATGGGCTCACAAACATTTTCCCCGTTCTCTTGATTAACTCTCTTTGTCTTTACTAATACCCCACCCTATGCCCCCAACCACAGCACCCACAGTGATTCTAATGTGGGGTCCAGCCAGCAGACAATTCTAGGTAAAAGACACTACTCTGTCTTCAGGATCACTTGTCCCAAACTGCTCTCTACAGCTCCAGGTGTCAGAGTTTGTCTTCCCTCAGAGTGACTTCTCTTTCAGGAGGGTCCCCATTGCCCACTACAAAAAGGCATCAAGGGTGCCCACCCGCTAGGGCAACTTCCCTGTCTGAATCCCTGCTCACTTTCAAGTAGGAACATGGCCATCACAAGCTTTGTTTTGTTGCTAGAAAGAACAGAATATGTCCAACAGAACAAGGAGTGCAGAGACAGGAGGAAAAGAGTTGTTGAGAAGAGTGAATGGCAAGGAGCACTATAGCCACAAGTTCCATAGCAACAGGAACACTTCCTGTGACCCTTGACCAATGGGCTATGCTGTGCAGGGAGGGCTGGACTCCCAGCAGTGTGTTAGTGCAGGAAATTTCCACAGACTGGCTGTCTCATCCTAGAGTGGAGCTTACATGACCGGCTAGTGGGTGGGCAGGGTTCCTCATCAGTGAAGAGTTTTGTGGTTCAGGAAGCACTTCTCTCTCCCTCTGTTGTACCAACCTCTCTGGGATCCCTTCTCATCATTTTTCCAACTTCTATTTTTTCTCTCCATTTGCTCCCTTCTCATCTTATATATGTTTGATACGATGTGTGTTTATACCTTATGCAACTATTAAACACAATTATCTTTTCCTTTTCCAAAATGCATATTTCTTTTTTTTTTGTTATTTGAGGCGTTACTAACGAGTTGAAGTGGCCCGCATAATGATTTAAAATGTCCCCTTGCAACAATTTACAACCTTCAAGAAATACTGGCACAGTGTCTATTAACACTGCAGTATAAAATAGTAAATTCTGGGAAAATTAAATGAGGCCAGGATTTCCAAACCATTCTGCTGACATTTATGCCAAATGGGTCT